AAGAGATTAAACCCCAGACAAGCCAGGTGGGCTTTGTTCTTTACCTGGTTTATTTCACCATCTCCTATCGTCCCGGGACGAAAAATACCAAAGCTGATGCTCTGTCAAGACTTCATGCTCCAGACGACCAACTCAGAGATCATTATCTTCCCTGACCTCATTGTTAGCCTGATCCAATGGACCCTAGATGATGACATCGCAACAGCCAGTGTCTCTTATCCTACTCCATCCGACCACAACACCTACATCCTGGTTGCTGTCGACAGATTTTCAAAAACCTGCCGTCTGGTTCCTCTGAAAGGACTCCCAACAGCAATGGAAACTGCTGAGGTACTGTTTAACCATGTCTTCCGTAATTTTGGCATTCCTGAAAAGATAGTATCTGACAGAGGTCCACAGTTTATCTCACGTTTATGGAGAGCTTTCTGTTCACTCCTAGGTGTGACCGTCAGCATATCTTCTGGATATCAACCACAAAGCAACGGACAAATGGAACGAAAGATCCAGGAGATAGGTCGATACCTCTGTACCTTCTGCCATGGCCACCAGAACTCCTTGAACCGATCCCTTGCCTGGGCCGAGTACGCACAGAATTCCTTCCGGTAACCTTCCACGGATCTCACTCCATTCCAGTGCGTGCTCGGCTATCAGCCCCCTCTATTCCCCTGGTCAAGAGAACCCTCAGATGTTCCAGCCATCACCCATTGGTTCCAGGAGAGTGAGAGGGTCTGGGACTCAGCACACCAACATCTACAGCGGGCAGTAAGATGCCTTCAACACCATGCTGATGTCCGGAGAGCCCCTGCTCCCACCTTCCATCCAGGGCAAGAAGTATGGCTTTCCACTCGGGACATCCGGTTGCGCCTCCCCTGTAAGAAGCTGAGTCCCAGGTATATTGGTCCCTTCCCCGTCGTCCAGCAAATCAACCCAGTTACATATGAACTCAAACATCCAGCACAATACAGTATTCACCCCACATTCCATGTTTCATTGTTCAAACCCTGTCACTCACCTGATCTCCCTGTTTCCCCAGAGCATGGCCCTGTAGACGAACCGCCTCTCCCGATGGTGCTGGAAGATGGAACAGCATACTCAGTAAGGGAGATCCTGAGTTCCCGACGTTGTGGTGGCAGATTGGAATACCTTGTTGACTGGGAAGGATATGGCACAGAGGAAAGATCATGGGTTCCAAGAGATGGCATCCTCGACCCCAATCTGTTGGCAGAATTCCACACCTCCCATCTTCATGATCCAGCTCCACGCAGTAGGAGTCGCCCACCATGACGTCGGGACCTGCGGCCCTCAGGAGTGGGCTGTGGAGAGGGGGGTTCTTTCAAGGATATGCCAGGCTCTTTCACCTATCAGCGTTCACAATCACCGGAATACTGATCACGCACACCTGACTGTCATTCACTAATCACCAGCACAGCACTATAAGAACACACAGTTCACACAGCCACATCGTCTGGTCTCCCAAGTGGAAAAGGACTCAAAACAATGTTGCATGACTTACCTGTTGTTCCAAAACTCCTTGATCTCATTCGTCCTCCTCGTGTGTTCCTGTGTGTGTTCCGTCTACATACCTGCATCTAGCTTTCCAGCATAAGACTTTTATTCTACAATACTCACCAGTTCCTTGGTCCCCCGCATACTGTTCAATAAATCTGCCTGTTTGATTCTAACCAACCTGTGTATCGAGTCTGACTTCCTGTTACAGTCTCCTCCCCCTTTTTAAAGCATAAGTGATGTTTAAATACTTCATTCATTCATGCACGCTGCAAAAAACAGAATAATCAGCCTATGTCACCCGGGTGGCAATGAGGAGGCAGAGAGGAGCAGATCTAAGTGCAGGTGAGCTTTAATAAACAAGCAGGGAAACACAAGGAACATAACAACGACTGACAAACACAACACAAGCACTATTTATACACAAGGTAAACAAGATTAACAGGATAACAAGGGGTCATGGAAAAATGGAAAACACCTGGGGACCTAATCAACATGGAAAACTACAAAGCACCACAAAACATGGAATCACTTTAAAGTCCACAAACACAAAGGGAATACATGACAGCCTGTCACACCCTGGCTAGTAGACTTGCTTGGTTCTGATTTCATGTGTTTCCTTGAGGTCCAGCAGTGCTGTTACATCCAAACTAAAGGAGCAGTTTTGTGTGTGGCATTTATGGCATTTGCACACATATGTAATTATAAATACTAGTTAAATACAAATCTACTAAAGAACTATACACATGACAAAAAAGTCAAGAATATAGATCTGTGAACTATGGATAAAAGTACTGGGACGCTTGACCATTACACAAAAAGGGACTTTAATGACATTGTATTCTAAATACAATATGGAGTTAGTTCTGCTTTGCAGCTTTAACAACGTCTCGGTTACGTATGTAACCCTCGTTCCCTGAAGGAGGGAACGGAGACGTCACGTCGGAGGACCGACGAATTGGGATCTCGCTTAGAGGGACCAATCTACTTCGAGTGTAAACTAAACGAGCCAAAAGGGACGTTACGGAAACTCGAACCTTCCCGAAGGAGGTTTCGGAGCAGTACACATATAGACATCCCTTAGGTGCATATGGAAGAATGGAGGTGATTGAACCCTCTTGGAATGGCAGAAGTCTGCCGGGGAAACACGGGCTCAAGGCTATACCGTGGACTTTACACATATGGGATCCACTTAGGTCTTACATATGGAACCCAGCCTTCTACCGGTTCTCGAGGATTCAGCGAGTGAAGACCTGGCGCCGGACGCTCCGCCACGTCTGGCTGCCGAGGGGACGGAGGAACTCAACAGGGTCTACTATATGGACTCTCTGGAGTGGTTTTGCAAGCCGACCCGAAGCCGGGGCCTCTCAGTGCTTCTACCCGTTTGAGGTGAGAACACAGGAGGATACCGGCTCCACACGAAGGCTATAGAATCTAGCGAATGTGTTAAGGGTCGCCCAGCCCGCAGCCCTACAGATATCTGTCAGCGAGGCAGTTGAGTGAGCAGTTGAGTGAGCTCGCAACCTGAGCGGGCAGGGCACACCCTGTGCCTGACAAGCCAGGGT